GGAAAGAAAAGAATTATAGGACCAAACACTTCTTTCTAGAATTACGACGCAAACAAACTTTTTGGTTTTCAGAAACTCTTTATTCAGTACAAAACTCGGTAGAAATTGGCAGGATGATGGTGGTAGTGTTATCGCCGGCGGTGATGGGTGACGATGGTGTTGTCCCTCACACCACTCTGAAAAATTTAGAAAACAAAAATCAAATAGAAAATCATATAAACAAGAATAAAACGACAGATTCTTAATAATATCAATAGAGGGAGGGAGGGATGGAGGAATATCACGAGTTCTATCTTCGACATGTTTTCATACCTTGAAAGTTGCATCATACATTAGTAACATTACTGTCTATACAACTAAAATATATTAAAATATTAAAAACAATAGTAAAATAACATAAAATATCGATGATGGTCTGGGACCTGGAATCAAGAGTGGGAGAACTGGTTTCTGGGACCTGGTTCTCTGGGATCTCACCCTCTCTCTCTTTCATTGTCCCTAGACAGGTTTCCAGACATAATAACGCCTTCTTACTCAGATGGTTTTTCTTTTTATGTAAAGAATCGGCCTTAACACCGAATGTCAACAAGCTGGAATAGCTCAGCTGGTTAGAGCGTGTGGCTGTTAACCACAAGGTCGGAGGTTCGAACCCTCCTTCTAGCGTTTTTTATTTTTGCTGGGTCAGAATGTGAATTTCAATTTTAATTGGGGTCTAGACTTCTAGTCCATGCTGGTCCACCCCAACCCAACTTAAACTTCGATTAGATAAGGTAATTAGCATGATCCACCACACATGATGCTGCAAACCAACCTAAACCCCATACAATGATACAAATCATCCATCCAATTCATTCAACCAGCACTAACACTCCACAACTTTTACCAATTCAAAATATATCAAAAATGGTTACTCTCCAACTGAGCTCTTGTGGTTCATCTTTTTGCTTCCTCCAATTTAACTTGATCAACTCCAACATTACCAGCTCCCATTCAACTCTCAGACCTTCCAAGCCCCTCACCAGTTTCTCCAGAGCAAAAATTAGAGCAGTTAGCACATCCCAAGAGAGCCAATCTGAAGCCGTTCAACCCCAGCAACCCCGTTCCGTGGATTTCGCATTCGTTAATGTAAGCTACATATAAAAATGTCAATAGAAATTCTCTGTGCAGGAAGTCCCATCACTTAAAACTTTGTTTTGGGGTATCTTGTTTAATTGTGTATTTTGTTGTTTTCAGTCGGTTTTACTTCCTGACCAAACACCAGATGTGCATCTTCGTCAAGCCTGTGGAGGGCAGAAACTTAGGAATATAATGCTGGATTCAAATATCGATTTGTATGGACCATACGTAAGTATGCCTCCCACTTAATTCTTATCATTCTTACTAAATTTTTTTTTTTCGTAAAAAAAATAATGAAGTTTATGTTGTATGTAAATGTTCAGAGTAGAGTTCTGTTGAATTGTGCTGGAGGAGGAACCTGCGGGACATGTATGGTGGAGGTGATGATTTTACAATTTCTTTAATTCTCCCCCTTTTTTTTTATATATATAGCATGTGATATATTTAAAAAATTTAAACAAATATATGCCTCACTGAGAGAGCATAAATTTCTTGTTATTATTAATTAATACAGAATTTTAATTTCAATTTTGTTCTATTTTGCTGGTAGATTGTTCAAGGAAAAGAGCTGTTAACCCCTCGCACAGACAAAGAAAAGGAACATCTTAAAAAGGTATCATACTGTTTCTAGTTAAGTAGATCACTTAAATCACTAATTAATTAAACTTAAGCCAATGTAATTTTGGGAGGTGGTGATTTAAAAAAAAAAAAAAAATTGTAATGAAGGCTGACATTCCTGTTGATTGATGGATTCTTGCAGAAACCAAAAAATTGGAGACTTGCTTGCCAAACCACAGTTGGGAAACCTGACTCCAGAGGGCTGGTTTGTGGTTTCTCTCTTTCACTATTCTTTTATGTTTTGAAAAAGTCGCAAATATGAGTTAGGATGCTAGGATCCTATGCTCGTCCTCTTGCATTGAGTTTGGAATCGGATCTTTCTTTCTGTATATTAAAGTAGTTTAGACTATCGTTCGTGTATAAAAAATGCATGTTTTAACAAATAATTAGACAAAATGTTTTAGTAATTTTTTTCTGATTGGATTAATTTCAGGTTGTTGTCCAACAGCTGCCAGAATGGAAAGCACATGAATGGAAATATGAAGAAGTCCTAGTAGACCCTTCACAGTCTTCATAAGATATTTTTGCCTACCATTGTAAATTTCAACAAAAACAAAAAAATTAATTAATTAATCCAGTTTAAAATTATAGAGAATTTATTTAAATGGAGATGCATCATCAGTGTAATTAGTTATTACAGGATAAAATTATTCCTTCAGTATAGTTGTTGTCCACTTGTCCCCATAAATAATGCTTTAATTGCTATAGGAACATGTTAACTACTTATTTGAGTTTTGTCATAACTTGGATCATGTATCAAACAAAAAAATAAAAAAACACATATATATGGATCTCAATTTATATTATGCGTTGATATGTGTTAGAGATAGCGAAATCCGATAAAGATTTCGTTACCTCTTAGACCATCTCTAATGGTGGGCTAAATGCTAAATTTCCCCCCAAAATTTCCCTCCAAACCCAATCCAACCCAAAGAGAAACTTTGGGCTAAAAGTTAAATGGGGAACTAAGGCCAGATTCCACCCAAAATTTAGCCCACTAAATCGCCAAACGCGCCTAATGCGCGAAGCTTCTGACCGCCGGGGACCCACCCACGTGGGCCTGTCGGCCACGTTCCGCATGAGCCCAACGGCTCCTTCCATCCAACGGTTGTGATCATCAGGCCGTTGGTTAATCCAACGGCCTATATTCAAATTTTGTTTTTGTTTTTATATTTATATATTATTGAATCCAACGACTAAGATCGAATATAATAAAATCTAATGGTCAAAAAAAAAAAAAAAAAAAATCTAACGACCCAAATTTAAATCCAATGACTAAAATAATTAAAAAAAAATATTTAACTCAAAATTCACCCAAAAACTTTATAAATACCAATGTATCTGTTCAAACATCCACACAAAACTCAATTTTCTCCTACAATTCTTCCAATTTATCTTTCTACCATTTCTTTCCATTTCCAAATTGTTCAACATGGCAAGAGAGCATATTAGAGGTCGTAATTGGACCTGTGAGGAAGATGTTGTTTTATGCTTGGCATGGGTTTCTGTTAGCGAAGATGGTGCAGTTGGCATAAATCAAAATAAAAAGTTTTGTGGGATAAAATCATTGCAAAGTTTCAAGAAAACTGCAACGGCGGCGGGCGGGACGGTGGTGGTGTTTATGATGGATGGAAGATTATCAACAAAGCATGCACTTTATGGAAGGGAAGCTTGGAGAGAGTCGTGGTTGGCATGCCTAGTGGAATGAGCACTATAGAAATTGTGAGTTTTGTTCTTGATATTTTATTTGTCATGTACATAATATTAGTTTGCAACTAATTATTTTTATGTATTTTTTGCATAGGGTGACAAAGCAATGGAAATTTACAAGACAAGAGTAACACCAAAAAATCAAGTTTTTAAGTTGCAATATGCTTGGGACATCCTCAAGGATTGTCCAAGGTGGAGAACCGCGATGCAGACCAACAATGGGGAAGATTATTTCAATGTGAAGTTGCATAGACAAATGCTGGAGATGAAGGTGTCTATGAAATGACCCCATCTCCTTCTTTTGCAAGGCCTCGAAAAGAGATAAGCAAAAGGAAGCAAAGAGAAAAGGGAAGTCTCAATATCCGATGAGTGAACACTTTGCTACCGGAATTGCAAAATTGAATGAAACCCATAGCGCTCGCCAAGAAGAAACAACCCGAATGCATTTGCAAATGAAGGAAATCTCAGATAGAGAGCGAGAGAGGTTTGAAGTTAATTTGATGATGGAGGACCTCAACAAATACATTTTAGAGAGGAAGAAGTTCTTATGTGGTAAGTAAAAGGAAATTTTGCGAAAGTTTGCCTCAAGAAGTATGTTTCAAGATGATGAATCCTCTGAACCCTATATCCTAATTCAATCACGAAGTCCATCACCAAGTGAAGATGGTGGATATGATTTATTAAGTTTATGTAGTGTATGAATTATGTGTTTTATTAATTAAGTTTATCAATTGTCGTTTGTATTAAGTTTATGTAGTTTATTAATTATGTGGTTTATGAATTATTGGTTGTATTAAGTTGAAGGCTTGCTTTGTGGAAAATTTAGTGATTTTTCAATATTTATCGGAATTAAATAATTTTAGATTAAAATGTTCATAAAATTAATTTATGATAGTCTGCCTATTTATTTTTTTAAAATTAATTTAAGAAAAAAATAGCCTAAGTTCATTCTTTAATAATCCAGGGCTAAAATTTTAGGCCATAAAGATTGGAGCAGAAAAACTGTTTCTGGACTAAAAGCTAAATTTTTCGGGCTAAAAAATTTGGCTTTTAGCCTAACCATTGGAGTTGGTCTTAGGGATTAGGTTAACATTACATCTTTTAATTGTTTTTATATTCTTGTAAATCATGTACCTTACTTGTACTCACTAACTTGCTATAAAATAAGAATTTAGTTACAATACTTACATGTATTTAATAAAATTATCATCTCAACGGTGAGATGATGATTGTATTAAACATATATATTGACATTAATAATATTTGACTGTTGAGAAGTGATTACTTATAAGTATTATAGTCGGTCCTAATATCCAATTCTCTAAATTCTATATGGTTATCAAAGAATTGTACAATTTAGGAAACTATTGCCCAGAAAGAATGAACATGCCTCGATATTATGTTTATATTCTCGAGCCGTATCGACAGAACGTTTGTTCCTCAGTCGAACAATACATTTCTATAAACTCAATATGCATATGTACACAAAAGCTCATCAGTTGTATTGTTAGGAATCTACTGAAATTTCTCCTTCTCCAAAATTAAGAAAAATTAGCTGTGCTTCAACAACATCATTCATTTTTCACAAAGAAAAAGTGACCTACAAAAGGGCTTTACAAACAGCACAAGAAAATGGAGGTTCCAAGCTGAGAAAGTGAGAATAAATAATTGAAAACTTGACGACAAAAAGAAGTAAAGAACAAAAACAATTGCTCTTCCTCCTGCTGTTATTACAAAGGATACATTGGAAGACATTTGCAACGATGCTCAAATCTCAATCAAATTAATCAGTACTCACTTACTAAGGGTTCATGTTCTCTGTACATAAATAGGTTCCCATAAACAAGGCCAGCAAGTCCACCACCAACGAGGGGTCCAACCCAGTAGATCCAGTTGTTGTGGAAGTCACCGCTAGCAACGGCAGGACCAAAAGAGCGGGCCGGGTTCATTGATCCACCGGAGAATGGTCCGGCAGCCAAGATGTTGGCCCCGACTATGAAACCAATGGCGATGGGGGCAATGGTGCCCAATGAGCCCTTCTTGGGGTCAGCTGCTGTTGCATAGACAGTGTAAACCAATGCAAAGGTGATGATGATCTCAAAGACTACTCCTTCAATGGCTCCAACTCCAGCAGCTAGACTGTGGGTGGGGATTGTCTGAAATTAAATGGATTTCATAGTTAGTTGCAAGTTGCCAAAAATTCCACAAAAATTTAAACAATTCAATGTACCTTTGTACATGTAAACTACCAAAATATTTTATAATTGGAGTTTAACCATCTTTTCAAAACAATAACGACGATACTAGATTCATCAAATTGATTACCCAAATAATGTCATTACCTTACACTTGTTATAAATAAATTTTAAAGTGAACTAGATTTGAACCAATCAACATTAGTTTGTGTAACTTTAGTGTTCTAGCAGTGTTCATTACATAAACTAGAAAAGTTATTGACAATCTCTACTGTATTGGAGAAAATGCTAATAAATCCACCAATTAAATCCGTTACTTCGTCTAGATCATATAAGGCGAGAACCAAACTCTGACTGCCATACTAAGTAAGTGATCTAGCACGAATGTCAACACAACCAATTAAGCCTAGAGCTCCATAATACTAGTCTCTCTGTTAAATTAATAACACCAAAATAACATAATTCTCCCTTGTTTTGTGCATGAATTCTTTGTTTAAGATGGACAAAACTGTCATTGCATTCGGTACGTTGAAAAATATCTTACCAAGCCTCCAGTGACGAACTTGAGGATGAAGGCTGCAACAATGGCACCAAGAAGCTGGGCAACCCAGTAGAAGATGCCAGTGAGGATGGTGATTTGTCCACCAAGAGCCAATCCGAATGTGACAGCTGGGTTTACATGGCCTCCAGAGATGTTGGCGCCAATTGAAACTGCAACAAAGAGAGCAAAGCCATGGGCAATGGCAATGGCTACTAACCCAGCAGGATCAAGTGTAGCATCGGATGTCAACTTGTCTGTACACACAAAACGAAATCCCATATTCTTAAAATAGAAAAATCAACAAATCAACTGCTAGGGTTTATATAAATGAGTTTCGTCCACTCTTTTTTCTGCTTTTGCGTACTTTTGTTTATTTTTATTTTTTAGTTCTCCTTTAATTTATTCAGTTCAAAAGTTAAACAAGAACCTGGTGTTCAAGTTGAGAAAAACTGTTTGCAAAAATCACTTAGAATGGATTTTTTTTTCAACCACGTTAGATGAAATCAAACTCATAGCCTATTTTAATCATAACTCAAGTTAGTCGTGAATTTGTCGTATCATTTTGATAGTTTAAAAGGCTAGCTAGCTGATGATGCAGTTGATAAAAAGAATAAATAAGAAAAAATAGCTGTAATGAGGGCAAACAAATTACTGTAAGCTATGGCTGAACCAAGTCCTGCAAAAACAAATAGCAAAGTAGAGATGAACTCAGCAAGGTAGGCCTTCAAGGACCCCAAACTGAAAGAATCGTCACATCTCCCAAATGCTATTCCGGCCATCTTTCGAAAATTGCAACACTTTGCTACTACTGAAGATTGCGAAGGAGGAGAGGATATAAGGTTGTAGAAAGAAAGGTAGCCAAGGTCACGTATATATAGTGACAAGACAGCAAGTTAAACCTATAAATATTTAAGGTTTATTAAATAGAAGTTTTAACAAAAAGTCTGCGGTACTGTTCATTTTAACGAAAAATCATATTTTAACATTAAAATGTCAATTATGGTACTATTCACTTTACCTTTTATTTTGTCCTTATTATTAAAATTCAAAGTTTTGAAACTTTTTCCATTAATATTCCTTTATTAAATTCTATGAGTCCATGAGCTGCACAGCAAATGTTTGATATGTTCAGAAGATAAAAAGGAATATCTGAGAGAGTAGAGCCAAACCATGTCCATGCAATGCACATCCAATCAAGTCTCTTTGGCAGTCCTAGCTGTCACTAACATGCTTTAATAGATGTGTCTGGTAGCACATCAATGACTCTACCATGTGACCAACTATTCTTCTGTCTAATGGAGAAAAAAATAGGAAAATGATAAACCCACTTGTTTATCTTTTCATATTTAATTAGTTCGTTGTTTTTATTATATTTATTTCATATAATGACTGAAATAAAAAACAGTGTGTTGGAAATCAAAACTGGTGTAGAAATTAAATCTAAGAAAAAGTATGTGAGTTTGGTGGTCAAAGAAAATAATGATAGTTCTCCAAAAAAATAATAATGATATATAAGAGGAAGTGATGGACGGCAGGACAAACATTGGGCCACTGCAAGCACGATACTTTTACTTAAAATTGTATATAATTATACCTGATGAAAATTGACAACACGATATACGATGAATGAATATAATTTAAAAATTTCCAATATTTTCACAAAAAAAATCAGAAGAGAATCTCATTTCAAAAATAGGTAATTAGGGTTTGAGAGGTTTGAAAATGGGTGGAGAGGATTATATTATGGAGATATTTGGAATATCATTTAACTTGTATTTTAGGTTTTAATTAGATTGTGAATAATTGGCTGCCTAATTGGAGGATAGAGAGGAATCTCAATGTGTATGTCCTACTCCTATTCACTGGTTTAATTTTGGAGATAAAAGTTTTTTTTTCCAGTACATGAATATTTTTACATTAAAATGAGGGAGAGTTCGGTTAAGCCACACAATGGGCAGCCTAATTTGATATCAAATTCGTCATCCACGAAAATCGAACCTAACACCTCTCACTTTCAAATGAAGAGGAATACCACAAAAATTAATCTAACACCTCTCACTTTCAAATGAAAAGGAATACTACATAAATTTCCGCTGCTTCCGAAATTGGCTTTGGATGTGAAAGCCTATCTTCGACCTTGTGTCTCTCGCAGCTTTGCCCCCTCTTGAACCTTTTCTCTTGCATTTGTGAATCGTATTACTGAGTAGCGGAGATAAAAGTTTTTCAAAAAGAAAAAATTATTCATTGTCTTTTTTATTTTTATCCCCTTTTTTGTGGATACCTAAGGTGGGGTTTTGGAAATCCTCAATGGATCCTCGTACTCTCGGACAGACTGAAGAGAGTTACGGGTGAAAGATATTGGGGAAGATTTTTGCTGATAACTTGAGATGTATTTTCTTGCTGCTTATCTCTTCTACGCTCTTCTAATGAAGGGAAGAGCGAAGCAGAAAGAAAAAAATATAGTCGCACTTGAGTTTTGCTCTTACAACTATTCAGTAAATTGCTGGCCTAGACATCAATTCTTAGATTAAATGCTGAGAAATTTTGAACTTACTAATTATAATGAACTACTGCATCTATCTGGATAAGGTTGAAGAATATTATGTGGTATAGTGTGATTCATACACTTATTTTTACGTTTCACACACTTCTCACATTTTTTCGATGGTTAGATCGCATGAATTGTAAAAAATCAATTACAAAAATTAATAAGGATGTGTAAGATGTAAAAAAAGGTATGAGAATAGGACTATCCTATTATATATAAGGTGCTGCTATCCACACCACTTTTTACTTCTCACACACCATTTGATAATTTTTGTCATTTAATCTTCTTCAATTCATTCAAGCTGACGGCTGAAAATTGAGAAAAGTGTGTGAGACATAAAAAAGTGTGTGTGGATACCACTACCTTATTATATCATTTATTTGGCAGAAAAAAAAAAAATAGTAGTTCTCTCTGTGCACATGACATGCATTATGCATATGACCTGCTGCACCAGCATGCATTGTTTTTTGAGTTAGAGGCAGTATTTTTTGTCCAAATTCGAACTTATAATATCCTTTAATAAATATATACAATATTAATGAATAAATATTCAAACTTAAAATATCTTTCAACAAATATATTGAGATTGAAAGTGCTAACTTGTAGATTATTTACCAATGTTTTAGCATGCTTACTTGACAATAAGTATCAGGATTCATACAAAACTTTTCGAGTAAATTACATTTTGATGCTCCAAAAATTTAAACTATTACAACCGTAGAAAACCTGGGATAGAATATGTAACATCCATGCGTGAAAAATATCTGCAATAGTTCTCTTTTATACCAGGTTCCTATACAGTGAATCAGTGATGCACAAAGATTCTTTTTTTTTGGTGAACAAGATTCTTACATATGAAAAATCTATGTCGTTAGTTCTTTTATCATAATTGCAGTGAACGGCCAAATACAAAGAGTCAAACGAAAAGCTAAGGGCTATTTGGTATTCTTATTAAAAAAAAAAAATCATTATTTTGCAAAATATTTCTTAAGAACATCTCTTAAGAACAATTTTTTAAGAATTCAAAAACTTGTTTGATATGAAATTCACAATTGTTTGTAAAGAAACAAAAAACCATCCTACAATGGGAACTTCTAAATTCAACAGAGAGGAAGAGGAAAGAGGACAGAGAAGAAGAGAAGAGAGAATGAGAGAGAGATGAGAAAAGAAATAGGAGAATGGATCGGAGGAGAGTGAGGAGAGGAAATAAGAGAGGATCGAATGAGAGAAAATTGGAGGAGTGAGAGAGATGATAGAGATAAATGAGGAGATTAGGTGTGAGAGGAAGGGGAAGAGAGAATGAGTGAGCTTTAAATTTAAAAACTCTAAAAACACACTTCCGGTGTTTTTAAGAAATAGACTAATTCTTAAGTTAGTTTTGAGTTCAGTTTTAAAAAAGTCCAACCAAACAAGTTTTTAACACTTAAAACTTGAAAAATATTTTTTAGTTTAAAAAGTTATATTCACATAAAATACCAAACAGATCCTAAAGATTTGATTTTGTACCTTTCAATGACCAGTGGAATATATCATATAGTTCCTATGGTTTAATAATGGGGGCAAGAGACATGAGAAATCATAAGATTGTACGAAAATAAAACCTAGAATTGAAAGCGAAAACATCTTAACATTTGTTTTTGGTTTTTAGTTTTCATTTTGTGCATCATTCTATACACATTTCATCCACCATCATTCCTTACCCTTGTTCATTTTTCCTTTGTACCACATACTTGTATTCTATCTATAATACAAAAAGTGATAATGAAAAATTAGAACCAGATGGCTTTTGGTGGAAAAACTACTAGATAGAGTAAAAACCAAATGATGTGTCACCAATAAGAAACAAGCAAATTAATCAACACTTAATTAATAATCTAATTATCTACCATCACATTATTTAATTTGTAAATTTGATTTTAAAAAATTTGTCTACCTAACATTACTCAAATTAAAAACCCAAACATTGATCATGACTAGGTAAACTCAAGTTGGGCCTTGTTTGCAGCTCATATAGGACGAGGCTTAGTTAGGCATTCCATTTTGGGCTTCAAAATAGGCCTTGTTTGGTGCAGTAATAAGGATTGTCGAGTTGCATAAAATGTTAGACAAAGGACTTGTTTGGTAAAAGGATAGATGAGACATGAGACTGAATTTTCGTTTTGAGGGGATTAGTAGAGGATTAGACATGAAGAAAACTTTTTTCTATTAATTCCCTTATTTTGGGGAAGACTAAAATGGATAACTTTTCTTCTTTGAGTTATTCATGTCCTACCTTCAATTTGTTCGTTCACTTCTTCTTTCAATAGACCTTGAAAAGTTTATCCATTCTAATCAAATCAAGTATATCAAACGAGGTCTACAATCATTCATAACCAGACTCATTTGAACCAAATTTAGGAGAAAGACTTGGGTGAGAGGAGGAGTTCCGCCGTCATGGCATTTAAAGCCACTAATACAAGATCATGTGTTTATAAAACTCTCTCAATATTAATGGTATGAGACACCACGGTGGCAAACAAAGCGTTTCATAAAAGTCTCTCTCCTAAATAAGGCATGTATCCTAACAAAACGAGAATTTATATGCAAACAATGATGCCATTGGGGCATCATCCTAAGCTAATCATAAATTGTCATATTAGATGAAGCTTAAATGCATAAATTAAACAGGCTGGCCAACCAAAACTAAACAATTCTATTAAAAATGAATGGCAGCCACCGTCCGTATGGGTTTGTGGGAGCAGCCGCCACCCTTTGGTTTGTGAGGAAGGAAGCATTACGTAGCATTTTTTTCATTACTTTTGGGCATTCGTGGAAGCCAAAAGTAAGATTTATTGCTGGGGTCTCCGGATCCCTTTCTCCAAATCCACCAATCCGGATCAATGAAATTTGATCAAACAGCTAAAAACAAGGGTCATTTTAAAAGTTATAATAACTTTAGCCGTTTGATTAAATTTTAAGGATCTGTTTTGATGAATTTGGTGGAAGGGATCCGGAGAATATCCCTTACCTTATTATTGGCCACATCTCTTTGTTAAAAAAAAAAAAAGATTCACTTGTTCGAGTAATCCCACCTGAAACTCATTCTTTGTAAGAAAATGTGGTCTGTGATAAAATATGATTTTTTTTTTTTGAGTAAATTACACAAAACTACCTTTATTATTGGGTCATTAACAGTTTCATACATTGTCTTTAAAAAGTTTCAATGTCATACCGTATCTTCGAATTTGTTGCAATGTCATACCTTCCGTCAGTTGTCTGTCAATTCCTCTGTTAAATGTTGACGTGGCACACTTTCTATTAAAAAACTAATAACATATTATTAAAAACTAAAAAAAATCATTTAATATTTTTAAAAAATTAAAATAATAATTAATTAAAGAAAAGTTATTTATAAATAAAAAAAAACCCCCAATTCGTCTTCCTCCCCCCCCTCCCCCCGCCCCCCGACCCCATGCAACCCAGAAAGAAAGAAGAAGAAGAAGAAAAAACCATCTTCATCTTCCCTGACCCCCCTTCCCTGCAACCCACCCTTTTCTTCCCTCTCCCGTCTTCCCTTTCCCTCCTCCTCCCCGCCCACCCTCGCACCCACCCTTGCACCCACCCTCTTCCTTCCTCTACACACCCCACTCCTTAAATCCACACCCATTCCCCCAATTTTCTCCGTGTCCAATTTCTCCACTCGCGGAATCGGCGAAAGACGGGATCTGGGTTGCAGGGAAAGGGGGATCGTGGAAGATGAAGATGGTTTTTTTTTTTTTTTTTTGGGTTACAGGTAGTGGGTGTGAGGGTGGGTGCGGATGAGGAGGGAAGGGGAAGATAGGAGGAGGAAGAAAGGGGTGGGTTACAAGGAAAGGGGGTCAGGGAAGATGAAAATGGGTTTTTTTTTTTCCCCCTTCTTTCTTTTTGGGTTGCAGGGGGGAAGACAAACTTGGGGGTTTTTTTTTTTTTTAAATTATAAATAACTTTTCTTTAATTAATTATTATTTTAATATTTAAAAAATATTAAATGATTTATTTTTTTGTTTTTAATAATATTTTATTAGTTTTTTAATAGAAAGTGTGCAACGTCAATATTTAATAGAAGAATTGATAGACAACTGACGGAAGGTATAACATTGCAACAAATTCGAAGATACGGTATGACATTAAAACTTTTTAAAGACGAGGTATGAAATTGTTAATGACCCAATAGTTGAGGTAGTTCTGTGTAATTTACCTTTTTTTTTTTTTTTTTGGATTTAGGCAAGTTGGTTAGAATATTGTACTTCTTTTTACAATCTACACTCAATTTTGAATCTCTCTTTATAGTTTAGATGGATTTAGAATAGAATATTGCTTGCATAAAAAACGAGACGATCTAGTAGTATTCTTATTCACTTCGAAGTGAGAGGCCTTATGTTTGATTATTTGAATTTGAACCACATTATTGTTAACTCATTATGAGGCTAAGTTACCTCCCTCCCCTTTAGTCTAAATAGTATTGTTTGTTAAAAAATATATATATATTTATGTTTGGCAGCTGTCATTTCCTCATATCATCAAGGAAGTGTTATTGTTGTAGCTAATAAAATGGGGAGGTAGGAAGAGGCTTTTATATTTAGTTGTTGTTGCTCCATCAAATTAGTGGGTCTATTTTATGTAGATCAATAATTCCGTTAGATGGACTTAAAAGGTCCATCATTAATTCATTTCCTACAGTCATTTCAGTTAAAAATTTGACTATCACAATCAGTAAAATTCCAGACAATAATTCCTAAGTCGTTACATACGATTAGATTGGCTAAACCACTTGTTTTAAGATATTTTAGAGGAAGAAATAAACAAATTTTGTCTAATTAAAAATAGAAGAGGATTAGTGATGAAAAATCTTTCACTTTATATCTTCATTTCTTACTTGGAGATACGTTGAATCTTATGTTCTGAGGCCCAAATGAACCCAAATAGTACTTGAATCCAGCAAATGACATTGTGCGTCAGTACACATGACACCTGTAGTACAGGTCTCCTCTTCTAGATAGAACAACTGTTCTCTATATAAGGAGAGATCGTCCCAATATTTATAAACGTATCCACGTGTTATCAAGACACTATTGAAAGTATTGATATTATCGATAAAATCCACAAAAAATTCTAATATATATATATATATATATGTATGTATGTATGTATGGAGAGGATTCGTGACAGTATTTATAATACACAACTTTTATGTATGTATGTATGGAGAGGATTCGTGACACTATTTATAATACACAACTTTTTTTTACACAAGTTTTTATGGAGCCCATTCTTTAATGCATTTTAATGATTCGAACCGTTTATTTTTTAGAATATCCTTCATAGATAATTCTTACAAAAAATTAACAAATCCAAAACCATTAAGACATTTATTTGTATTGAAGAAAATGAACGAATACATTTATACAAAGAACCCTAAACCCTTAATCCAACAACCATATGGTTTTCAAATTTGGATAATTCTTGGTAGACATGATCTTTGAATGATGTTTTAAATGATTTTGAGTAATGTTTTAAAAGATAGATAATTCGGATTGTTGAAATACCTTACGGTGTAAGCACCATAAAAAATTGTGTAAAAAAGTGATGACACGAATCTATCCCAATAGGTATATATACACCATATATATAGGCACATTCAATTCCTAGTACAAAATGGTCCCCTGTCCAATGTCTCCACAATTCAACAACCTCCCCAACTCCAAATCTAACATCGTAAGTTTAAGCACTTTTCTAACAAGCACCCTTTTAAAAACTTAGTTTTTCATACCATTTTTCTGCTGTCACGTACTTCATTGAAAATTTCTGACTCCGTCCTTGTTTGCTTGTTCAACTATGCCATGGAGTTTCATGGCGAAAGAAATCTATGGAGCTTCATGGACGAAGAGCGAAAGAGCATCAAGTTACCTCGGAGACTTTCTTTTGGTGATGGTGACCAGCAACAAAGTTCATCAGAACCCGAAAACATTCGTTCGGCTTCTGCAGCAAGACCGGACATAGCTGCGTCCGAACCAACAATACCTCCGAGGCCTATGAGCCCTGGGACACCGTGGACACTCTCCCCGGTGCGCACCTCTCCCTCCCAATCCCTTCTTTACCACTGCATTGCCTCCCTTCACCGCCATGAAGGCAACATTTTCTCGATCACATTGTCAAGAGATTTTATATTCACTAGCTCGGAGAGTAGCCGGATTCATGTTTGGAAGCAACCAGATTGCACTGAAATCGGTTGCATAAAGGCTACTTCAGGTCAAATTCGAGCTATCTTGGCCTCCGGGAAAATCTTATTCACCGCACACGGCGACTGCAAAATTCGCATATGGAATGCGTCGAATGCGGAGAATTTTCGACCGAAGAAGATCACAACGCTTCCTCAAAGAGGCCGGTTTTCGCTGTTTTCAAAAAAGAGCAGCCAGCAGCACAACGATCGCATCTCTTGCCTAGCTTACAACAAGGAAGACAAGCTCTTGTACACAGGCTCATGGGACAAAACAGTCAAGGCATGGAAGATCAACGAAAGGCGCTGCGTGGATTCGTTTGTAGCTCACGAAGGCCACGTAAATGGAATCGCGATCAACCAAGAAGACGGCTGCGTGTTCACTTGCTCCTCGGACGGCTCAGTCAAGATTTGGAGAAGGGTGTTCGGTGAAAGTTCTCACATCCTAACCATGACTCTCAAGTTCCAACTTTCGCCGGTGAACGCCTTGGCGTTGAGCTTGTCATCCACGACCACCCTCCTCTACTCCGGCTCGTCAGATGGGCTAATAAACTTTTGGGAAAAGGAGAAGATGTCCGGGAGGTACAACCACGGAGGGTTTCTGCAAGGTCATCATTTTGCCGTCCTTTGCTTGGTAGCGTTAGGAGACCTAGTTTTCAGTGGCTCCGAGGACTCAACGATTAGGGTTTGGAGAAGAGAGGAAGGGAACTGCTTCCACTCATGTCTCTCCGTGATAGAAGGGCATCACGGACCGGTGAGATGCTTGGCAGTGGCTTTGGAGACGGAGAATTTGGTAAGGGTGAAAGGTTTGTTGGTTTACAGTGCAAGTTTGGATCAAACTTTTAAGGTTTGGAGGGTTAAAGTTTTTCCTGCTGAGAAGGTAAACTTGGTGGATGAAACTGCTGCTGCCAAAGACCCACAGAGAGAGATTGTGGAGTGTGAGACAAGCCCTGTGTTGTCACCTTCATGGGTGGAGAAAAAGCTTCAAGGCAACTATTTTCAGTAGGAGCAAATAAGCTAGGACATGTAAGCTTTGATCTTGCTTAATTAGCAACCTCCATTTTTTCCCAAAAATTTAGAAAACTGTCTTTTGAATGATTTGGAACGGGAAATGATTTCTGCACTCTGTTTATCTTTGTCATTTAATTCTCTTTTAATTTAGGGATGCGATATCCACACACTCTATTTTACTTTTCACACACCTTTTTAATTTTCGGCCATCGGATCGGATAAATTGAAGAAGATCAACGGACAAAAATTATCAAGGGGTGTGTGAGAAGTAAAATAGGGTTTGTGTATATCACATCCCTTAATTTATTCAATTTAAAGGCCAGAAATAAACAATGGTGTGCAAATTACAACGTATTTCAAAGTAAAGCCTTGTGAGATTGAGATAAGAAGCAGGATCTAGTTTCGACGAGGATACAAGATTTCAACTCACATTTCGACCTCTTTTTGGTACTATCAAGTCCAAAACTAGTTGTTCAAATTGTTAGAAACAAAATTGGGGAGTTGAAGTTCTTTTTCTTCTAAAGAAACCACATTTTTGTGACAAATGCGGCCAAGTTTAGATGCATAATCATTGAATTACAGCTACCAGCTCAGAATTAGGTTTACCAAAACCAAACCAGTAGCAATGGTTCCAGATTTGTTTTTGTTTGGGGTGTCAATGAGTTTATTGTCAACCCATCTACCCCATTTAATGACTTGCGGTATAAGTTGTAGGGGCTATTTTACTTTTCACACACACCTTATTAATTTATGTCTTTGATCTTCTTCAGTTCATCAGTCCGATAACCGAAAATTAAGAAGGTACATTAATATTGCAATATTTAAACCATTTTCTTTCAGAAATTCAATGGCCATGTTTCATTTTACTTTAATTGGCATCAACGGCGGTTTGGTATTCCGGAGAACAATCAGATGGGGCTGCAGGTCTGCTGTCTCCTAACTTTGAGTCTCTTACGTGTTTTATTTTTAATTGCTTGACACGTGTCCTTCAAAATTTAACGTAGAATTAACGCTGTTAACTTCTACTATTTTGCATTATTAAAATAGAGTTCCAAGAATCCTTTGGGCACACCCATATCAACCCAGATCAACACGGCCGACAAGACCCCATCTGGTAGTCGCCGGAAAAAGAAAAAAGAAAAAACCTCTTCTTTCTCTCCATTTTTCTCTGCTTTCCTCCTTCTTATCTCCCATTAATATTATAATCCAATCTTCCAGCCAATGCTATAAACACAACCTCAATTCACAAAATTATGTGCACGCCTGTACCTGGACAAAATCAAGATGAGAAAAATCGAGAGCTGCGATGCAGAATTCAAACGTTTTAGAAATGAAATTGAGACGGAGTCGATAATCGAAATCTAATTAATTCGCAGCCTGCAATCGCACTGGGTTGGTCGTGGGTGATGACGATTCGGTGGCTACCGGGCTGTTAGGTGGGGATTGATGGCGATTCGGTGAGGTAGGTTGGTCGTGGGTGATGACGATATGGTGGCGGTAGATCTTTTCCTGTGCCTTGCATTCATCACGGTTGCATGCAACTGCAATCACAAAAACAAGAATCCCAAATTGGCTCTTACGGTGAGATATAAGTAAAACATCAAAAGTAAAAGAGTGCAAATCAAACACAGCAGAAAGTTAAAGATGGCAATCAATACCTTTAAATTCTGAGTAGCATCTTTCTCTAGAACAAGCCCAGCTTCAGTGTACGCATCGATGATGACTTTGTTAGAATATGATCATGATCATAAGTCCTAAAGCCTGCTATTTGTGAAGGACTGAATGAAAGTATGAAAACTGGTTTTAACACTTCGTATGCACTAAGGTAACTTTTTCAATATTGAATAAGGATTCTAATAGGAGAATTACATGGATTGATTGTGTATAAATAGTAGTTTCTGCTCTCACAAAACACGCTCAATATTCAACTAAGACCTATTGTTACTTTGAGTATTATTGGTTTTGATAGAGAGGAGGAGGCCTGCTACTTGTTTGATTATGGCTTCATCTTCTACCACTGCTGCTGGTTAGTTTATATTTCATACTTGCAGTATATTTATTGATTTGGTTATTCATGACTTATTTAACTTGACTAAGATCTCTAGGAAACTTTAATTATTCGTGGCATCAAAGCCTAAGTTTTAGTTAAAAAAACTCAGAATAAAAAAAATAATTAAAAAAAAAAATTAAAGGTTTCGAACACGGGAACTGTCTTTACGAAAAACAAAGATAATGTTTGTTTTTAACATATATAATAATAATAATAATAATAATAAATGCCGTCGTTTCGAATTGGGGCTTTTTGTTCGAATTGAGGTTTGGAAAACTGGGTTTTGTTCCTATTCTTGTTTTTATCCTTTTAATTCATAAAAAGCAGTCAATCTGGATTATAAATAATTTATTGCTTCCGCTGTACTCTTTCGTTTTCAATCTATATTTTTACTGTATTTCGTTTTCGTTTAATTCAATCTTTGCTGATTCATGAGAAAGTGAAATATTTTTAATTCCTGCACTTCTTAATGATTTTGAACCTTATTCTAGTAAAACACTCTATTTGATTCAGCAACAATAAAAACTCAATAGACTTGTGCGAATTGGATTTAAAATGCATACATGTTAATTATGATTCTTTATTTTTATAAGATCTTGCTAAAAGTTGAAATCTTAATTATCTAGTTTTAATTAACATGACTTAAATTATTGTATCTAGATATCTCCAATAATTGATTGGTTTTGCTTGATGGGTCAAAAACTCTACGGTTCAATATCAAAAATGTATGCATGTTATATACTGCAGATTTTGGTTTTTGAAGATTGTGTTATCCGTTAATCAAAAGGAATTATGTGTGATGAGTATTGAACTATCTATTGATACATATTCCGAAAAGTGGACAGTTTTTGAATTGTTTGATCTATGTGTATCCTTTATCATTGGGACTACATACATGGTCAAATTGGTTCAAATTTTGTTCTGTAAAGTTTAACTAATAGTAGAGAAATCAGGAACCAATTGGTTCACGTTTACTGATTTCCTTATGATCTGCTACAGTTTCACTAAAAACCTTGAGTTTGGCAAGCGCTCTGATTCTCACTGGTGGAAGTAATTTCAAGAATTGGAGATGCAAGATCAAGTTCCTACTGATACTCAATAAATTTGACATTGCAATTGACAATCCACAACCCTCATCATTGACTGACAAGAGTTCCAAGGCTGAGAAAGCAGAGCATGAAAGGTGGTGGATATCAAATAAATTGACATTGTCAATTTTTGGAGGCTGGCATGACTGATCATTTTAGAGGAGATATCAAACAACATGACCTTGTTGTTGATTACTTCAAGGCTATTGAGGAAAAGTTCCAGGTACCACATAAGGCTGAAATTGGGCATTACATGCCACTCTTGACAACAGACAAGTGTGGGGGTAATGGCTCAATTAGGGATCACATTTTAAAACACTCAGATGTTGCCGAGAAACTCAACTCAATGGATGTACATATTTCAGAGACACAATTGGTCTTTATGGTGCTTCAAGCACTCCATGTTAAGTATTGTCAACTGAAAGTCTCATACAACACTCAAGGGAATCTCTGGACACTTGATGAGCTCATTGTTCAATGCGTTCAAGAAGAGAAAAGACTAAAGCAAGACAAGGGCAAGGAAATTGAAGCAGTGAACCTTGTACATGCATCCAAAGGAAATAGCAAGAAGGGTGGCGGATTTAAACAAGTAAGAACTCTAAGTCTTATGATAATGTCTCTAAATCTGGTATGCCTGCTAAAAATACTGAATCCTCTAAGAAATCTGTCATAACCAAGCTTAAATGTTTCTTTTGCAAAACCAAAGGTCATTATAGGAAAGATTGTGAAGTTTTTAAGCATTGGCGGAGGAGTAAGGGTAATACTAATGTCTATGTATGTGAGAGTCTAATTTGGTTGAAATTCTGGCTAATTCTTGGTGGTTTGATACTAATGCATAAGTTTATGTAACAAATTCACTGCATGGTTTTGAAAAACAAAAACAAACAAATAAAATGAAATATAGTGTTTTTGCTGGGGAAGAGACTAAGGTTTTTGTGCCTACAATGAGAAGGAACCTGGTTTGTTCATCAAAACTAACTAAGAAGGAACTTGGTTTGTTCATCAAAACTAACTAAACAGAAATTGGTTTTTCTTGGGGGATAATGAGGGTATAAAGTTTTTTCAAAAGAATAATTTAGATTCAATTTTGGGAAAAGTTTATTTACATGAAAAGCTTTGGCAATTGGATTGTTCTCTTGAAAATGAATATGTGCATGTTTTAAATGTAAACACCAAAAGGATGCATGATTTTGAAAATTCTTGCATTTTGTAGCATAAAAGGTTGGGACATATTTCGAAAGAGAGAATTTTACAATTATCTAAATAGAATGTGATTCCCTCATTTGATTTTCAAACTGAAAGTGAATGTGTTGATTGTTTAAAAGGGAAATTGATAATACTAGAAAACTAGAGGCTAGGAGGAGTCTAAATCTACTAGAAGTCATACACACTAATGTACGTGGTCCTTTTCTAGTTGAAACTATATGTGGGAACAACTATTTTGTGAATTTTATTGATGACTTCTCTAGATTTAGTTTTACTTATCTCATTTGTGAAAAATCAATCATCCTTAGTTGCTTCATAATTTTCAAAACTGAGGTTGAGAAACAATTAAATATAACTATTAAGATCGTTAGATCGGATAGGGGATGAGAGTATTTTGGCAAGTATACCGAGGCAGGTCACAAGAAGAGACATTTTGCTCTATACCCGGAGAAACATGGTATCGTGGCATAATATACGACACCTGGAACACCACAGCATAATGGAGTCTCAGAAAGAAGGAACAGAACCTTGATTGGGATGGTGAGGAGCATGGTGTCAAGAGCTAAACTTCCAGAATTCTCGTGGGGAGAAACACTCAAAATAGCAACTTATATACTAAAAAAGGTGCCAACCAAAGTCGTTTCACAAATCCGTTTTGAAATTTGGACTAGAGGAAAACCAAATTTTGATTATTTTCATGTTTAGATTTGTAAGGCTGAAGCAAAGTTCTATAATCCACATGATAAGAAATTAGATGCAAGAACTCAATCT